GCACATGGACCTACAACATTACCGCCTCCATCGGAGATGCAGCCGCCGCAGCCGGGATTCGATCCCGTGACCTGCGGGTCAGCAGCCGAGTACCTTAGCCACTAGACCACCACGGCGGGGTGACTTTGATCGAACTGAACGAGCTGTGCAGTTAAATGTATTGCCGTAGCAAAAATGTGATTCGCTGATAACTCTTATAGATTTTTCCAGTGAGGGAAAAACTGAACTTCCGGCAACAACGTACGTCAAAGACAAGAGCGTCTGAAACTTTTCTCGAACGCCGCGTTTCGCACACGCTGCCGTATTATAATGCCATTCAACGTGATGTAGACGCCAGAAAGGACAATGCGTCTAGCGATATTTTCTGTCTTGGCTGTGACTTTTACATGTCGAATTACTTTGCTGCCTTTTCGCGCAGCGCCATAGTTTTCGTGACAATAACTGTCATTCTTCCGAGTACATGCTTCGTTTTCTTATTATAGACGCTGATCAAAGAGGCAACTATGTCACGGAGGAGGTTTTCTTTTACTTGCGTGCTCCATGGTAACACCAGAAACTATAGACTTCATTGTTCTTCCGAAATAAGTTTTAAATGCGAAGCGTTGCTTAGCGAATGAAAAAACAGAGACCTTTTTTATCTATCTATCTATCTATCTATCTATCTATCTATCTATCTATCTATCTATCTATCTATCTATCTATCTATCTATCTATCTATCTATCTATCTATCTATCTATCTATCTATCTATCTATCTATCTATCTATCTATCTATCTATCTATCTATCTATCTATCTCGCCTACGCCTGCTTGCTTTCGTGGTCGCCTGTTTAAGTTCTTATACACCAAAATTGTATACCTTTCTCTTAAAGGACAGTGGCAATCAACCACTCATGACTCAAGAACGCTCGCTGGATGTGCTCCATCCCATTTTTCTTTTTTTAGTTGCTTCAATACCGTGGTTCGGCATCTTGGTTACTACCTGTCCTAAGTAGACGTACTCTTTCACAACTTCAGGTGCACTACTATACCTAACTTGAAGCGCTGTCCTCTTCCGAGGTTGTTCTACCTCACTTTTCTTTCTGCAGATTAACTTTAAGACCCACCTTTCTGCTCTACTTGTCTAATTCAGAAATTATGAATTTTGATTCGTCCCTGGGGTCACTCAGCAACGCAATGTCATCGGCGAAGCGCAGGTTACAAAGGTATTCTTCATTAACTTTTATCCCTAACTTTCCTCATTCTAGGCCTCCGAGGAAAGCATCCCTCAAAGGAAGGTATATAACAGTGGCATATTGCCAGTACTTACCTGCGAAGCAGAAACCTGAAGGCTTATAAAGAGGGTTCAGTTTAAATTGAGGACGGCGCAGCGAGGGGATGGAAAGAAAATGATAGCCGTAAACTTAAAAGACAAGACGGGAGCAGGGTGGGTTAGGAAACGAACAAGGTTTAAGGATATCATAGTTGAAATCAAGAAGAAGAAATGGAGATGGGCCGGGCATGTAGTGCATCGGCAGGATAGCCGCTGGTCATTAAAGGTAACTTACTAGATTCCCAGAGAAGGCAAATACACGAAGTGGAGACTGAAAGTTAGGTGGGCCGATGCGATTGAAAATTTCGCTGGTGTAACATGGCAGCAGCAAGCACAGGACCGAGGTGACTGGCGCAACATGTAAGAGGCCTTTGTCTTGCAGTGGGCTAGTCAGGCTAACGATGATATCAATATCCTCAGGTGACTTTTCCTGAATAAAGAAAAACTTCACGACACCAGGTAACTTCACTTATAAGAAGCCTGCTCGTACCTTTGCCATCTCGCGTTTCATCTGAAATTCAAATTCGTCCTGCAAATCAGACAAAAAACAAACTTGCACAATGGCTTGACGAAGTATTAATCTTTAATGTGATTCCTTTCTGAGCGAAAGGCGACCAGGTGAGGAACGATTCAGCACACCTGTGTAAATAAAAGAAAGGAAGAGGTCAGTATTCATGCGAAATTTCAATGACAATAATCTAAGAAAACGACCAGGTTTCCTTATGTTTTCGACTAACACGACTCTGAGAGGTAAGCCATTTTCTCTTTCTTCACTGATCCTCCACCGCCGCTCTACGGCAGCTTTCTTCGCCTAACGTGGTTTTCCATTGCCTCCAAGATCGGATGCATTGCAAGGTTTCTGCCCCCGAGCCTGGATTTGGACTGCCTCCGTGATTGTTCCACCACTGAAGCGGTGATTTCAAGTGATTACGTCATTATGCGTCGTCCTGTTATGTGACGTCACCAGGACGTCACAAATATTGGTCATCCGTGACGTCGTTATGTATTCATGTGGTGACGTCATCATCTCACGATGGCTTTTTTGCATCATTTGTGTTGGCGCCAGCGGCACCGACGCCGACGGCAATTTTCGCGCTTGATCGGGCATCGGAGGCTTTCGCCTGAATACATACACATAATTTATTAGCAGAAATGCAACCTCATGACCACGCCTGCTTCACTTTAGAAGACATCCTTGCCTAACCTTTTATGGCATCTTCGAGAAAGCGCACCGGTGCGCACCAGTGCGCACCGGTGCGCCTGTACATGTTCGATATCTCGCATCAGTGCGCACCGGTGCTCATTAAACGTCCTCGGTATCCAGGGCGCACCCTGTAGGGGCACTTTTTTTTTGTTGTTGTTGCTCCGAGGTGCTCCGAAAAAATCGGCGGAGCGACGCTGTGCAATCCCAGCATTCGTTGCGTCCCTTTTTGGTTCTGGGGACATTTTGGACTGCTCCGGGGCACAATTCCCGAAGATGCTATTAGTTATATTTACGTCTGCGGCTCAAGAAAAAAGAAACAGGAAATTATCAAGGCGATGTATCTATCATAGACTCGTGAATGCCGGCAGCAGATGTTGCGATGATGTAAGACACGTTTACGCATCGCTCTTCATGTCTAATTTAAGCGGACACCAGTTGGAACAACTTGTCTTTGTACTCACGATGTAGCAGTTCATCAACTGAGCGGTGATTGCATCAGTATCTCGCTCTGGCGCAAGGGTACGAAGAAAACCAGCTGTTCTTCAAGGGCGCTGGCAGCAAGGTATTCCGCACGTTACCGTGAGTTCTGCGACTGCTACTTCTCATGCGGGCTTGACGATCCATTTTCCGTACTCTTCGGAAATTGTTAAACATAAAACGTCACGTGGGTAATAACCACAAAGTCATTTTTTTTAGTGCTGACTACGCACCTCAAATAAAAGCAGGACACTTACCTCGTAGCCATATCTGGCATTAAATCTAGCCTTGATCCTCCACGCCTGTTAACAAGTAGGAAGCTCATCTGGATATCTCTCAGACCTCCAACTTAACTAACCCAGTAACCAAGTGGTCCCACATGGCCTAAGTCTATTGGGTGCCAACAAACGAGACATTATAGCGAAGTTCAACTTGGTCATGCATTGCTCTATTTGTGGTATTCGTCGGGTGGAGAGACTGCTTATTTTTGGTAAACTCTTACTAAAGTTTTAAGGGAGACATTTTACAACTCGAATGCCTGAGCAAATTAATGAAGAGTCAGTGTTCTGTAACGGCGTCAGATCATAAAAACACAGAGCTCTGGCTTGCCTTCTTTCCTGCACCCGCAGTCATAACTTCCGCGCTGCCCGACCTAATTTGAAATGTACGTTACATCTTAAAATTAGTGATGCTCAAAAGCTCGAATAAATAAACAGTTACGAATGGAAACAAGTTTATCGGCGAAGTTATTGATAAAAATTCACTCTAGATACAATGCAGGCATCTCACACCTGGTTATTAAAGTTGTAAAACGAGCAAAGGGCAAACCAATGAATATCGAAGCTAACACTGAAGGTCTTGTTCGCCCATGCATGCGGTCATCACTTTGCCAAAGCACGCTTGAACACTAGTGCTGGTTTATTCCATCATTGCCGGTGATTCTCAATATTTCTGCTATAAAGGCCTTAAAGCGCATTATACCGTCAATATTCCTACACCATCAGCCTTGTCTACGCAAAAAAAACATAACGAAATAAAGAAAGAAGATCCCTTAAATGACGTAACGCTTGTTTGAATATTTTGAGAATCATCCACAAGGTCTCGCGCAAGGTTAACGCAGAATACGAGTATTCTAAATCGCATTGACGCGAATTCTTTTGAAACCGAGTCGGCTTAAACGAAATTTCGAAATGTAGTTAAGTGCCCACTTGTGTCACGCCCAGATGTCGTCGTTTACTAAAGAGGCGCGCGTGCCGCACGTGCTAGGGCACTTGCTTTCTCAGGTTGCCAAGCTGACCGGGATTTCTTGAATCGCTGCGTGGCCAGCCTTTTAGTCACTAGCTTTCAATACGCGACGCGACAGCCACACTAGGATTGAACCTCTAAAAACGCGAACGCCGAGAAAGAAACGTTACTTATTTCACACTATTTCGTTTTATCTCATTTTGCACAAAATAACTTTCAAAGTAGAAGCGGTGGAGTCGTCTAACTCGACTCCTTTATACCTCGCCGCCAGTCGCTATCCCCTGGGTAAAACCACGTGACTCTTTTGAGTCCCGTCAGCCGGGGACATCAATTCATGCGTCCCTTCGGTGCCATACTCGCTATGGCAGCTGTAGGACACGTGCCTGCCATATTTTATTCGCAGATGCTCAGGTGATACTCCGTGACTCAAACACAAAGTAACGATTGAATTGAGCTTAACGAATGGATGTCATTGGCTTGAAGGTGTGCCTCTTCTTCAAATGGGGCAGTTCCAATTGTTCGATATTGAATTGTTCGATATTGAACTCTATATGTACCCTCTCTCTCTATCTTTTCTGTCTCCTTCTCTACTCTCTCTTTATCACTCTTTCTCCCTCACTTTTCTCTCTTTACCACGGCTCGTCTGTGTTCAAAGATGCTCCCTAGAAAGTGGCAGCGGGCTAAGCGAATCACGCTGCGAGGAAATCTAATTAGATCTAAGAGGGTGTGCTGCTATCATTGGGGACTGGACAGAAAGATCAGTTGCGGACAGGTTCGGCCATGAACCTTACAACACTACTCGTCGTGGTTCAACTTATCGTGTTCTCGGTCTCCTTCTCAACAGCTTGCCATGGCGATGATGGGGGATTCGAAGAGCAACATGAGATAGATCCCGTCAACAAAAACCCTTACCCACCTGTGAGACCATCGCATTATTTCGCGTAATTCTCTCGAAGCAGTTGATTAATTCAATTATTTCCGGCTCCCCGTTGGCGATGCAGCATTCCGTGGGTCCCGGAGGCCATTGCCAAAGCACGCTAGAGTGTCAACGCGGTTGGTGTTGCGCGAGACAGCGCAAACGGAACGGCGGCTACACCTGCCAGAAGATGCACGGACTTGGTCGCAGGTGTACCATGGAGACGCAGATTAAGGCTGGAAGGTATTATTACCACTGTCCCTGCGTCAGCCATCGTAAGTAACGCTCGAACTTCACTTTTATTTAGTTAATCACTTATTTAATCAGGCAAGTCATTGTGTACTGGTTGTGGCTACGCTTATATAGGAATGCGACCACAAGGAATGCGACGAAAGGCGACCACAAGCTTTAGTGGACGTGGTGGTCATGCTAATTGTAGTAGTAGTAGTAGCAGCAGTAGTAGTAGTAGCGATAGAAGTGGCTGTAGTAGCAGTAGTAGTAATTGTAGCAATACCTAGCTGTAGTGTTAGCAGCAGCAGCAGCGTTACTAGTAGTAGTGTGCAACACCGTAAAAAGTAACAGTTCAGTTGTAGTAGTTGTACCACCATCAGTAGTAGTAGTATTAGTAGCAGTAGTAGTAGTAGTAGTAGTAGTAGTAGTAGTAGTAGTAGTAGTAGTAGTAGTAGTAGTAGTAGTAGTAGTAGTAGTAGTAGTAGTGGGGGTTGTAGTAGTAGTAACAGCAGCAGCACTGTGTGTTTTTTCTAATTTGTTTAATGCTATTTCAAATATTACCCAGGGTCTACTCACAAAACGTTCGGGCATTAAGCAAAACTAGAGAGCAACGGTTAGCGCTCTCGACTGCAGAGTGGCAGCAGTGGTAGCGATGCAAAGGTCCAGCATCTCTTACGCGGCCGTTTTTTCTTCCTTGAAGATGACGTAATTTGTGTGCTGCTTCTCCTCTGCCACTGCCTACTGACGACGTGTGTGTGAGGGGAAGGGGTGATGTTTATCAACCAAGTAATGCTTTTTAGTGTTGATGAATCACCGTAGGTGTGCGCAGGGTTTCCTGTTAAATGGGGAGGGGGCAAAGTGTCATAGCCGCCTCCTCCCATTTGTCACCCACGATGGTTCAGACCGAAGGACAACATGCCCAACAATGCGTAAAAAAAAAAAATCAGCCTGCTCCACTTTGTGGACACGGATGAAACAGTAAAGCTGGTGATGTGCAGTAGAATTTGAATGAACTGGAATTTGAATGAAGTGGGATTTGTATGAAGTGGCATTGGATGAAGTGGAATTTGAATGAAGTGTGCTTGAACAAAGTAGGTTTGAATGAAGTTGGTGAATGAAGTGGAATGAAGTGGGTGACAGAAGTGGGAGTGGAGGCGGGAGCACTAGTGGGCATAGTGCTGAGTTGGGGATGTAGTTGGTGAGGGGAGGAGTGGCACATATCCCTAGTGACAGTTACCCTCCCCCCACCTTTTTTTCTTCGAGTAAATACCACTATGATCTACAGTCTACTAAGACCCCCGGACATGCAAACCTCTACTAAAAACAGCCTCTATGGTAAAAAAAAAAAGAAAGTGCGATGATGTGCTTCTCAAGGTGACCTGACTTTTCTTAAATAAAGATGAAAGTATACTGCTCATGGCACGCAACACGGGAAGCCTTCGGCAGCCATTGTCGCAAAATCTGCGTGACCATAGTTGGTAGCGTAGCTTTCTGGGCGAGTTGGATCACAGGGATCGGAAGATGCAACCAGCGTTAAAACAGAAAGCGTGTGCAATTTCTTAATTAACATTCACTTGTAATTCCAGTGCTTTCCCGCCTTGTTGTGCTCCTTTGCCGTCTTCTCTCTCTCTGTGTGTGTGTGTGTGTGTGTGTGTGTGTGTGTGTGTGTGTGTGTGTGTGTGTGTGTGTGTGTGTGTGTGTGTGTGTGTGTGTGTGTGTGTGTGTGTGTGTGTGTGTGTGTGTGTGTGTGTGTGTGTGTGTGTGTGTGTGTGTGTGTGTGTGTGTGTGTGTGTGTGTGTGTGTGTGTGTGTGTGTGTGTGTGTGTGTGTGTGTGTGTGTGTGTGTGTGTGTGTGTGTGTGTGTGTGTGTGTGTGTGTGTGTGTGTGTGTGTGTGTGTGTGTGTGTGTGTGTGTGTGTGTGTGTGTGTGTTTCCTCGCTGGTTTCCTCTTCCGATTACTGTAACAATGGTAACGAACCGATGGGGCAGATTTTCTTCTTCTACCAGTTGATTAAAGACAGTGTTCCTCCCATCCCGCCCTTGCGTGCAGCTAATGTGTCTCTCGGCTTACAATGCAATCCCGGCCGTGCGGTTGAAACGTCTTGTTTTTTTTTTTACCTTTCTCAACATTTGCAGTGGCGTGTCGTGGGAACCATGCACTCAAGCTGTGCGTTCCGAAGAACTGGTCACTCGATGACGTGACGTATTAAAGCTTTGCAAACTGCTTCGAAGGTGTCCTTGTATTTTAAGGCTGTTATAAACAGAACACGTAGTTTTTTTTTTTCGGTAAATTACAAATTGGTTGCAATCACTTCGCACCCGTCTGACTTCGTTTTTTCCTCCTACTTCTCTGGAGCCCCGCCGCGGTGGTCTAGTGGCTAAGGTACTCGGCTGCTGACCCGCTGGTCGCGGGTTCGAATCCCGGCTGTGGCGGCTGCATTTCCGATGGAGGCGGAAATGTTGTAGGCCCGTGTGCCCAGATTTGGGTGCACGTTAAAGAACCCCAGGTGGTCTAAATTTCCGGAGCCCTCCACTACGGCGTCTCTCATAATCATATAGTGGTTTTGGGACGTTAAACCCCACATATCAATCAATCAATCAATCAATCAATCAATCAATCAATCAATCAATCAATCAATCAAATTAACTTCTCTGGACAACAGTTGCGTCACTGCGAACAATTATCCTCACGTGACTTCCGGGTCGTAACGCGCCACCGTGATAACACTTTCGACCCGCCACTCGACTTGTGGATACCTTATGCTAATAATTATCTCACTTCTGTGAAAGAAGAAGAAGATTTTGACTAGTCTGTATATCTTTTTAATTATCTCACCTTTCGACAACATCTTATTCAAAGTTATTCTGGTGAGGTTGACACAGCTGTCTGGGCCGCTTGCCAACTGCCGCCAACAATTACAGTATTTCTTCTTTAAATCAGTCGGCTACAAAACGTGGCTTCCTTTTTAACTTATCTTCATCATTTGTGGCAGCTTCACAGAGCCCACAATACACGTGTCTGTGCTAACTAATCCCTTAATTTTGACATCATGAGTCAATTCATTTGTTCTTCTAATACACAATACTAAAGGGGATTGACATTGATTCGAAATAAAACATAGGCTTGCTATTTGCAGCAACTCTAATTTAAATGTGTACAAAAAAAAAGTGAATGAAAAGAGCCTCCCAGTGGCAAGGACACAACCGGCGACCTTCGAATAACGTATCCGGCGGTCTATTAACCGAGCTACAGTGGTGGTCATCTCCGTATCCACTTTATGACGTATATATGTGCGTTTAAACCTGCGAGTGTTATTAGCTGGTCAGCTGCCCAACTCACTACAGGATCACTCGCTGCTTGACGCCAACAAGCGGCAAAGGTGCGTTCCACACTGGAAGCTAGGGCTACTTGCGGCACTGACTGACACCCCCAGGTTTAAATACAGATACCCCCCCCCCCTCTTCCATAAAGTGGACGCGGCGAGGACCACTGCTGTATAGGTCGGTTGTGGAGCATCGCACATGAAATGTGAAGGTCAAAAGGGTACATAAAAGGGTAAAAGCGGGAAAAAAAGACAGATTCCAGAAAAGAAGTAAGGGCGAGCAGAAATATTCTTCTTTTCTCTTGCACTGCATCTGTTCTCATATACATCTTTTTCCAAGTGTGCGCTATTATGTATACCCCGTTTATGTTAACCAATTCGCCTAACAACAAGTCGTGCTCAACCATATTTGAGAGCTCGGCTCACAGAGTGTCCCTGCCAGGGGCGAATTATATTTTCGTCCTCTTTTCTTTATTTGCCTTTACAATTACTGCTAACAGCGTTCCCTATACTCTCGTGGGCGTAATTGTCCCTTAGTTCGTCTTGTCTAATATTTCTTATGCTAGTATTTTACGATCGTGCTTTCGGCTAACAGCTGTGGCGGGAGTAAGCCATACGTTACTGTCGCTACCGGAGACAGTGCTATAGTTCTCCCCGCTACGAAGACAGATTTACTTGTCGGAACAATAGCTTCAATCTCGGACTTTGTTTCTTTTAAATCGTCGCTAACGCACAAAAGGAGAAATTCAGTTAGTCTCTAGGGGCTTGAAACGTAGTGTCGCAGAACCATTTGTAAGCTTGATTTCGATGCATAATCTTCTCGAAACAATCAGTTGAGTAAACAATGATGATCCGTAGCACTGCTACTTGCTGGGACACTAAAGAGAAAGGCGATGTTTCTCGTATCGGCAGATTATTCTTGGTGACACCGAAACCACAAACCAAAACAAAAATGCGGGTGGCGACACCTCGTTCAAGTTCACGCACCAGTCGCCGTGGTATCATAAATTTTGACGTCGTCCACGGGTGCCTGCTAGTTCTTTGTCGATAATAATAAAAAACGAACGGTGGGGCGAAGCATTTAGGGAAGGGTTCTTCCACTCCGTTAACGTCGTCGGAAAACTGCGTTAGAATGCAGCTTAGCCTAAGGTTCTTGGGTTTTTTCTTCTTCTGCTTCCTGTTATTATTATTATTATTATTATTATTATTATTATTATTATTATTATTATTATTATTATTATTATTATTATTATTATTATTATTATTATTATTATTATTATTATTATTATTCCCAGAACGTTCTGTTTCACTTCTTTGTGACATGTAGGAAAGGAAGTTTTAGCACCACTCACGTCGGTGGCTATTGACAATTTACAATTTATATTTACCCAAGAATACTTAACATGACACCGATTACCACAGGACGAGTGATCTGCCGAATGTTTTTTACGTGGGTAGGTTGTGAAGGGGGAGGGGCGGGGGGGCGGAGGGGCAGTGGCATAGCCAGGAGGTGGCCTACCAAACCCGTGCCCTCCCCCTCCTTTCTGGAAAGTTATTTTTTGCCATGGCACTCAGAGTTAAAAATGAATATTTCAAAAGCGTGCCCTCTCCCTCCACCCCCTTCTAAAAATAATTCTGCCTACGTGCCTGGGAGGGAGGGACAGTCAGTCAACATTTTATTTACGTTCGTGTATCGGTTCAAATATTTGCCTGTACTATACTCACATTCGAAATCGATAAATTTCAACATTCACACCCCCACCCCATCGTAATTGGATGGTCGAATCAGAGGGAGAGGGATGGATGCACAGGGAGGATAAAACTACCCAGATGTGTCTGAAGCAACCCCCCCGCCCCCCTTCCCTCTCATGATCTCTGAACTACACTCAGCCCTATGGAAGCGCCACCAATCAAGGAAGGATGCGCGTTGATTATTTGAAATCATGGCACAAGCGAATCAAAGTTCTGGTAGGTAGCAGACTACGCTTTTTTTTTTTACTGCTTGAGAGCAATTTTCGGCAAATGAAACAATATCGATAGTGTATAATTCGCTCAGAGAGAATTTATGAAACGCTTCCGAGTTTTTTGGAAAGGCAGCGACATCTATGGGCTCTTAAAAGGACTATGTTGTTTCAAGCTGTGAGATGTAGGCGAAAGATGGCATGAACGCATCAAGCATTGTCCCGCGAAAACAACGGAACCAGGTTGAACTGGAGCCTATACTGGGACTTAGGGGCCGCAATACTAAAATAGAATAGAATAGAACAAAACAGAATAGAATAGAATAGAATAGAATAGAATAGAATAGAATAGAAAAGAATAGATGTTTATTTCACGAGCAATACAGATAATAAGGAGCGAGGGGAAAAGCTGCTCTTGGGCAGCTGAACAAAGCTCTCACTCGCTGTATCTAGGGTCAGCATTCGGTCACAGGCATACTAATAATAGAATGCATCAACAGAATATATGCAAGTTATATATACAGCTCATTTTAAAAACAAGTGTGTGCGCTGGTATGCAGAAAGGTAGTGCAAAGAGAAAAAAAAAGCAGACCAGTCCGCCAGCATGGCCTGTTCCCACTCTGATTTCTCAATAATAAAGTTTGTTCCTCCTCCACATAACCAGGGTTTTTTTTTTTTTCTGGTGGTTTCGAAGAATGCATATGTGCAGTGCATGCACTGCGTTGCACCTTTCAATCATCCATCTAGTGCAGAGCATCGACGACAAGTGAGTTCCTTTGGACATATAGTTTCCTAAAATATTCAGTAGAGGGAACTCTTGGCGCTATAGTGTCTGTGGGAACTGCATCGTGTGGCGCTTCAGCCAGCACGGGGACGTTGGATGGCACACAGACTTGTCTAAGCTTCTGAGGCGCATACCCGCTTATGATGATGATATTTTGTGGTACGGTGTAAACAAGAAAAAATTTCTAACCACCGTGGAGTATCAGCCATGAAACGGTAGGGTACCTTATTATAGTCGAATATGTTTATAAATGAATGGCTTAAAAAATAACACGATAGTAAAGCAATAATAATAATAATAATAATAATAATAATAATAATAATAATAATAATAATAATAATAATAATAATAATAATAATAATAATAATAATAATAATAATAATAATAATAATAATAATAATAATATATAATAAAGAAAATAAAAAAAAACTCAACAACCTAATAGGGCTGAAAATAAAGTGAGTTTATGCCCAAGCTTAACATTCTATTCGTTTTGTTTCCCGTAGGAAATCGCATATGGCCTCACAAACGTTCCTGTGGTCATAGCTCATTTCAGTTACCACAAGATACCTCCGGAAAGGATATATTTAAGACCATCCTATATGGAGATGGTTCTTTTATCAATCTTGTTCCTTGATTTGTAAATAATCTGCATGTTAAAAAGAAATGACGACTGAGATTCATTCTCGTTGCAGTGGAGGCGTGAGGATGGCTGTACCAGAACAGGCCTGTATCGTTTGTAAATACGAAAAAAAAAATCTGCTAAAGGTGAAGGCTGGATGCGCAATTGTTAGCCCTTGCGCAAACGATGCTGCAGACGTTCTTTTCCTGCACGTCGGCGTCAATATACCGATAAGAGTGATGCCACGGCAGTCGTTATTTCCAGAATTTATAAATTGCTCACGTGGTTTCATAACCACAGAAACGTATACCACAGAAGAGCATTTGACCTCATGACATCGGAGATGGAGAACGCGTTTGTTAGGGCTTAATCTCTCTTTAGTAGCGTTACGCAACCGATTGCCGTGCTGAAAGAAATGAAATATTCTGTAAAAGACCTTAGTAATCCTTGAGGTAGTTAGCCAGGGATGGCACTCGCACGCTGTCGTTTGTCTGTCCTTGTTGGTTACTTGAGTTGACTTTAGGCTCAACGAAATG